TCTCTCTATCTCTCTTTCTCTCTCTCAACGGAGCACAGCCGGCAGACACTTGAGATGAGGGCCTTGCTGTCGATGGACAAGCTTCGTACTGTAGGATTTCGCCCACAACAGTAGTACGGCCTTGCATGCAAAGACCCTAAGTCGCGGAAGACTTCGGGACGTAGGGAGAGGAAACATAAGGGTGTTGAATTCCGCTCTGCTCGGGCTTAACATTTCGCAGCCAAGGCTCGGTAGCAAGCATCCAGATCCCTGTGGCCAGCAGATAAAGGTGCTGCAGGCAGCGCTGTCAAACATCCTTTCTGGTACCAGCCAGGTGTCATTGCCCATTGTGCTACTCAGCTCGCAATGAGTTCCGTGAAGGGATGCATCAAACAGCAATGAATAGCCACTCGGTTGGCCAGCACATAATCTCGGATCATGGTGGAAAATACAGCTGCGAGGAGACTAACCTGCAGGTCACCGTTGCACATGCCAGGAGAGGTTCCATCCGCGCCTGATTGAGGGCACCCTGTAGAGAACATGCAAAAGTAGGTTTTACTCCTGCTTGCAGAGACTAGCCAAGGACCGAGATCATTCATGGCAGATGGGCCTGTCCTACTGCTGCTGAGTTCAAGTCCCAGGAACTCTTTATTTGGCAACTTGGATCTAGTTGGTACCGGAACTCTCGGAAAGGGTTCTATGCTGCTGCATTGAGCAACTTTTGGTGACAAGATTAAATTTCATAGTTTTGTTTGCCTGTTCGTTTGTCTTGCTGTCGCTCAGTCTGCTTGTTCATGCATCTGTGCTTGCTTGCCGGTTTGCTTGTTTGTTTGGGCACGTGAGTGCGAGGGCGAGCCCGGGTATGTCGGCACAGGTATGATTACTTCTGCTGCCCACAAGAAGCATCTGGGCCTGCAGCCCACAGCCGGCAGCGCGCCATCTACAGCATTCCTTCTTACATCGCGGCTGAGCATTAAAAGTGGCACAGTGTTTACTTTCGGGCTGTGCTACTGCTTCCTACAGCTGGAAAGCGCATTGGATTCAAATACTGGTGCTCGTGAACCCCGTTGAGACGGGACTCTTCAGGGATCGGCAAGCCTGCAGTCTTAGACCTCCGACTACACCGAAGCAAGGCCAAGTGCGAACTCTTCGTGATTCTATGCCCTGCCCTGCGGCATGATGACGGCTCCATGTTGAGTCAGGCAGCTTTGTGGACAGGGTCAGCATTCCAAAGTTCAGGGGAGACCTTCTTCTTGTTGTGCGAAGTTAGCATCATTTGATTGCCACTGTTACAAACCCCCGCTTGTTGTCTGGCAGGGATGTTTTCGGCGTGGTGGCCTCAATTGAAACAAATCAAATCGAAATAAAGGAAGAGTGCTGAGAGGTTGGCAGGATAGCACCAGTAGCACTGCGAATAGCACTAGCTATCAGCAAGACTGGACGGGCGACAAGGATTGCCTACTAGTTGGTGCTGGTGACTTGAGTTGGGATTTAGGGTTCAGCTTCTCAGGGGACATGAGCGAATTGGCTCAGGGTAAGCCAGGTAAGCCTTCATGAGCCGCTTGTAAACCCTGCGGCTGGCTTGCACGTCAGGCTGTGTAGAATTCGTGGTCTATGTTTCTCGTAGCACATAGCACACCGACAGACACACACACCACACACACACA